CTCCAACAGTCAAGCAGGAGTTATCGCCCTTAGTATATGAAACGCCCAGTTTGCTACTCTCGTCGTCTTTATCTGACAAGCTTTAGAAAGGCAAGACTTAGTTTTTATCTTTTGAAGAATATTTTACAGTTCTCCCTGATATGTATTCAAGTGTGTCGTTTTTTAACTATTGTTGAAATTATGTGACATTATTATATAAACTGTATCCTTGGAATCATGCAAACATTTCGAGTCTCGCTGATTATGAGTGTTATCGTTTTCTGTCACGGAAGGAAATGCTAAATGTGTTCCGAACTATCTTGAAACTGACTTTTCGGTAAAAGTTAAAGGAAATGAAAACGCATCGTGACATCATTGTGATGTTTGTTTATGTCATAGCTTCAGTTCAATGCATTGGAACATTCAGACTGTCCCAGCATCAAAGTAAAGACACATCAGTTACATCATATAACATGTTCTGAACAATACTTAAATATTCATGTTTCCTATTACCATGTAATAAAATGGTTTGTTGTTATTATCATTTTACTGTATGCTGTAAACACAAAAACTTACTCAAACGGATTACATTCGCAACTGGGAAAGAAATGAGAGATTTAAAAACGAAAAAAAAATCCCTTTTATTTCAATACCAAAACTCCTGTGAAGATGCACCGCAGGTACAAAGGGAACTCTATATAGAGAAGTATGTGTAAGAAGCTACTTTGCAGGTAAAGCGCATTTACAAAATCCAAGGGTTATGCGGTTGTTACCTTCGTGTCGACGCCATTAATTGGCCAGTATCGGCGGGATAATATTGATGCGTTTAGTACAGTTATACATTTCATTTCAATTGACATTATTCTGTATGCAAATAGCACATAGGATTACATATCAAATACATATTATAACAAAATTTCGCACAAGATGGCGGAGAACATTTGTCTCTGTATATATATATATACATTTACATTTTTCACAATGTATTTTCTTGTTTTTAATCAAACGGTTCCTCAATCAGAATGTGGCCGAGATGTACCGGTAGACTACTTTCTTCGAAGTGTGACGTGCAATTGTTTTCGTTGCGATCACATATACGCTAGGTGTCTGGAATGCAAACTATACCTAAATTTGAGTAGAATATTTTTGATGTTTTAATCACCATCACCACATACAACGGCTTGGAATGGTCTTTTGTCCGCTGTGGAGGGTCTTCGGCGTCCATCGGCCGGAGGGATGATCGAGACATTTAGGTTTACACCACGACTCTCCATTTGGTTTTATAACTTTTTATTTGTTTTATGTTCTTTGTATGTTATGTGATTTATGTGGTGTTTGTGTCTTGATAAAGTTGCAGGTTGCCTCGAAAATTTGACAATTCGCTTGTCCGTACTGTTGCTATTATTTCATTGAACATATATATATAAATGCATAGACAAAAACCAAGGTATAAGACATAATCAGCTACGTCATAACATTATGACGTCATCATGGAAAATTAATTACAAACAACCTCATCAGGATGCGGGATAATGAAATAGCATAAGTCTACAATAGTTTATTGGTACCAAATTTGTACCAATGTAGAAATTGGTGTGCACTATTTTACCTTGTAACTTTATGAAATGATTAAGGAAATCAACATTCAAACATGTATTAACTTCACATTTAAATTTCATCTCGACATACTTGTTTACATGCAAACATACATGTATGTCCTCTCCAATATAGGGATATTTTGTTATAAAATTTAAAAACAGATATATTTTTAGATTTAGGCCCATCCCTTTTTGCAGTTTGCATCAATGATCTTCTGGAAACTATTGACCAAGAACATATTTATTTGCAGATGATACGAAAATTTACTTTCATAATGATAACTTGAATCTCCAGAAAGATTTAGATAAGCTTCAACAATGGTCTGATAAATGGCCCTTGAAATTTCACCCGGACAAATGCAAAATTATGCACGTAGGAAAGAAAACCAATAATACACCGCTATACTTATATAGAGACGAGGGATATGGAAGAGTCGAGGTTACATTAGATCAGGTAACAAAAGAAAAGGACCTTGGAATTATAACAGACAACAACCTAAATATCAACGAACATATTCACAATGCAGTCAATAAAGCCAATAGAATAATGGGAACCATCCGAAGAACATACATGTACTTAGACAAAAAGTCGTTCTGTCTTTTATATAAAGCGTTTGTACGTCCGCACCTTGAATATGGGGCCTGCGTGTGGAATCCCTATCTGCAAAAAGATATAAATGAGTTGGAAAATGTGCAAAGAAGAGCAACGAAACAAATACCGGGAATGAAACACCTAAGTTATGAAAACAGGCTAAGGATCCTTAAATGACCGACACTGAGGCACAGAAGATTGAGATATGATTCAAGTATACAAACCAAACACATGGAGGATCTCCTGATACAAAACAATAACAAGATAACCTCATGGCACAGTTTTCCACTATTAAAAAGAAGGAGCAGACTAAATCTGAGGAAGTATTCTTTCTGTGAACGGGTAGTAAACCACTGGAATTCACTTCCTAATGCTGTTGTAACGTCACCAACAATCAAAACTTTCGAATCCCGATTGGATGAACATTGGAGGCAAACTAAATGTGTTTATAATCATGAACTAGACAATAACACACTGACCATATTCGGGATACTTATTCTTTAAATACTGATCTGGATATATAGGCGTAATAAACCTGCGTCTAATATTCTGATATTAGTCTAATATTAAAACAAGATTTCTCGTTTACTTCATTTTCTGTTCCACGTTTCGTGGTTACAAGGTATAGAAAACGAAGATGGATGATAGTTTTTCTTTCAATTAGACAAGAAAATCCGAAAATTACTATACATGAACTGTCCCGGGTGAATCTGTGAGTAGAGATCGCCAGCGCAGTGTTAGGTTAACAAAGAAAATTCGGATACGTCCGAGTTTAGACGGTGCGACTACACATTTGTCACCTGCACTTTGACAGGAATACATATATATATTAAAAGAAAAAAACTCATGTCCCTACAGATGTAACGCTTTTTTATGACGGAACCATGCGGTTCGAAAATGAAAACACTTTAAAGTATTCCTTTAATCCCGGACAGTGCCATTTTATTTGCAAGGAACAACTTTTTCTCATATTCAAATGGAGACCTACATATGGATATACAATTTAACTGAGGTTATGTAAAATAGACCCTTTTCAATGTTTATAATTGGTGGAGGATATTACGTGAGAGACCTACGTATCAATACAGGTTTGATTACACTTACAAGAAGGCGTATGATTTAAGATATAGCTTATAACTTGGTGCATTTACATAAGGTGCCTGTATGCATTATCTAGAAAATATAACAGAATATAAGATATTAGTTTTGGCATTGGCACTCACTTCGTCGGTGGTATTGACAATGAAATTTGAGTACACCTGGCTTGACATTCGACCTTTGACATTTACTCTGGTATGCATACAATTAAAGTTGGTTGTTGAAAGAGCCAATCAGCGATGGGTGCCCATGACAGGAAGCGAGCCACGAGAATTTACACCGGTACCACATCGAAGGAAACTCAGAAAGAAAAATCAGAAAAAATGGTAAATCAATTTAGATTTTTTCTATTTCTATCTAGATCTATACTTGAAAGTTTCATGGATCGAATGGTACCAGTATGAACGAAATCGGTGTTGTTTTTATATTGCAATTTGGCTGTATCATTTCGACATTCCGATCTCGTGTCAACAAAGACTCGTAGCGCGTAACACCATTCATTCATTCATGGAGAGACTTTGCATACAACTGTTCATTCCAAGGAGCAGCTGTTTGTCACAGGTTGATATTTAAAACCGATCATGTTTCATATTGTTATAAGTTGTTTGGTCACACAGGAACAATTAATTACACGTTAGACAGGTTGGTTTAAAGATCGCACCTGCCAAATTACCAGATTTTGAGTGATTTCTGTGACCTAATTTTGTACTTGACCACTTGGTCAGTCGTGGTGGCTTTGTGTATACACTAGGATGGCCCGAATGGTTTGACCTCGTGGTCAGTGTGATAAGGGGATATCATATAACAGGTTTGTAATATCAGGTCAGTGGTAAAATGGACTGGAAACTGTCAGCCATCTGAACATACGAGGCCAATGTTTTGGTGGTCATTCTAGTCCGGAGATGACCATATGCCTACACTAAAATCGGTCTCCCGGAGTTGGATATATATATACATACATGTTTTGCTGTCCAGTCTTGAATACGGAAGGCCTTATGTTTACGAGAATAGTGCAAACATCTTTATCGTGAAGGACACCACGTGGTTGTTCAAGAGATCCGCTTTTGTTGTCGACATTTCTTCAGTTCTAATTACTAAATGGACTAACGCCCTGTCAATTGTGAATGTTCTGATGATCGTCCGACATTGTTACTCTCTTGTTGAATCTAATTTGTTACATCATGTTTCAAGAGAGCAAAATATGTGACTAATTTCACAAGGCCTCGAAGATAACCTTAGCCATGCCAATTATAATTTTGATATGTCAATAGAAAGTGTACTATTTTCATTGCTTTTGTTTTTTGTCAGCTACTGTAACTTTATTCAATTCAACTTATGATATGCTTGAAGATGTAACTAACACCTTTCAGTAAGATAATTTATTAGTATAAATTAGGTAATGTTGAACTGAAGAATGCATGTGATTTATGTAGGAACAATTGTTAAGATGTGCTCTGAACATCTGTTCAAAAGTCCCCTTATAAAATTTGCAAGATTTTCTTGATGGAAAAAAGTTATTTACGGAAACTTGCAGAGATACTTTCGGGGATTCAAAGTTTAGACATGGTTTAGAGTATCTTTTCATGACCAAAATATTGAGTTTTATATTTGAATCAAAATTCAACTTCCAAATTTCACAATCTTTAAAAGTTCAATGCTGAAACTATACATCCAGTTAAACGTTCTGACTTTGATTGTGATGAAATTAGGGACAGGATCTTTGTATCAGATCCATGCAGGAAGAAGGTATGGTAATAGTCTAGATGACTGTAAAAGACTTGTACATTGGTTGTCAGTGTGGTTTATTTCGATTGTACATGGCATGTGATCTCTGTTCTTAAGTTGAGGATAGACCCAAGCTTCCAGATTTACTACAACTTGTGATGGATTGTGACACAGCAGACCTAGGTTTGATTTCCCATAGGCCACTTACAGTTAGTGGAAACATGTTTTTTTCTCACTCATTCACATTGTCACCCTATAACACCACAAGGGAAGGACTTTTAGGAATATCCATTAAGATGTACACGGGAAATTATTATGAAGAAAATCATAGTCAATTGGTAGAGTTGTTTATATCATCATGTAGGAAACCTGAGTTGGGTAGCTGTTGGGTTGCTCTACCGGTTTAATTTCTTTTCCTTGTTTGTGTTTACTCATATTACTGTAAACTTTCCTGACACTGAATATTAATTGGAATTCTTTACCTCAAAACAAGGTTTGGATTTTCTACATGTAACAGAGGTCATTATTTATTGCAATGCTTCCGCTAGGAATCAAACCCGTGACCCCTGGCTTACTAGTCTGACGTTCAACCAATCGAGCTAAAGAGAAGTTCTCACTAGCCAAGTGGTATATTGCGGCTAGTATTTTACCAGGGTTACATACATATTCTAAGGAGGATACACTTTCAGTCACTAACATATCCCAATATTTGCTTCAGTGTCATTTTGTTTCAGACATTTGTCAAGTGTGTGAAACATGTCTAGATCTGCTGCCTGAACTCTGAAATAAATAACCAGGATGATTTTTTTTTAATATAAGATGATAACTTTGCTGGTTTCCAAGTTTTGTATAAATGTTATTAGAATTTCTCACAGCAGGTAACCTCTTAATGTATATGTGAATGTTTGTGTTTAGGATGTTGATGCATAATTTGATGGTTCAAGTACCATCTGCAATCATTTCTAGATTTTAATAAAAGGTGCATCTGTATTGTGAGAATGATCAACGAGCTGTCCTTCAACATTTATAAAAAATAAAATTAACATATTTTGATAGTAATGTGACACAAGCCATCAGTAATACGAAGTGTCTTTTGTGTAATTGAAGGTAACACCTGACCAGCATGAGTTGAGTAATTCCTAATACAAATTGTCTTTTAGATACAGATATACACATGATCTATACACATGGTCTGTATTGACCTTCTGTTTTACAAAGTGTCCTTTATATAGAGGTTTTCACTTATATGTCATGAACTATCTGAAATATGAGAGCATGCATTGGTTGTTAATTCTACTGAACAGAGGTAGATTTGGATTAGTTTATTCACAGGCTTTTTGCCTAATTAATACAGTAAACAGTAAAAGGTGTTATGTTTTTTATTTCTTAACAACCTAGACATTATACGGTGGACGTCAGTACAATAGATTTGACTTCACTGTTAAGTTATTTGTAACAGAAGGATTTTGAGTTGAGACATAAAACAGTAAGTGGATACCAATGGAATGTCCCCTGAGTTGGCTTGACAGCATGTTTATAACCCAAGGTGGGTGTAAGAGAAAGATCTAGTCATACACTATGAATTCAGCACCACACCCCCTTCAGATTCTGATTCAACCAAACTCCATGGGTGTAATTGTGTTTAAAATCAATCGATTTGGCACTGTAAGGCACATACTTAAGTAGTAAATCCATAGGTAAATGAACTGTAGTTTATCCAGGGTCAGTTGTGTTGTTTTCAATATTATAGTCATTAAAACTTTAATTCTGTTTGTTAAATCTCAATGTCAAAAACAGCATGTGTCCATTACAGGTATGTCTGCTTTTCATTGATTGTCCATGCCAGCGCCTTTTATACCTGTGGATATGTAACACTTAAGACTAGAACATTTTTGACATCTCTTGAATAATTCCTGTTGTGACTTCGCGGAAATATCTTTCTTAACTTATCTATCAAGATTTATGTGTTACCTGTCTATAAAGACCAGTTTTGTGTTACCTGTCTATTAAGACCATTTGCATGTTACTTGTCTATTTAAAAACACTTGTGTGTTGTAGATCTGACTTACTATGTAATTTGTTCTAGTCAAGTGGGACCACAATAGCACAATTTGCAGAGTGTTGGCTTATGTAACTTCATTTGAATATGCCAGTTGTAGTTTGTCTGTGTTGTTGGTTTAGTGTCCTTGGTCAAGACATGTACATTTTACCCTGCTTACTCTGCATGGCATGCCCCTGGTCTCCCATATATTGGTCAGTATAGTAGCCATCATCTGAATGTCCCTAGCTGCTCATTGATGGTAAACCTAGCATACAAGCTCTAGACATGCTGACAGCATTCTGTAATATATTTAAACGTTTTAAGAACATTTGATAATTGTATCATTTATTTTTCAGGTTAACCTAAGTTGTTAATGATGCTGTGACCCTGCCACAATATGGGATTCAGATAGAATTCTTTCCTCCTGTTGCCATGGTAATTTGGCAAAAAGGAAGCAATGATGTCGGGAAGAGGTGTCCAGAGTGGTTCCGATCAGAACTATGAGGAGATATCTATGATAGGAAATGGAGCATATGGAACAGTATACAAAGCTCGGGACTTGAAAAATGATGGTCAAATTGTGGCCATGAAACGTATTCGCATCCAGAACACAGAGGAGGGGATGCCTATGAGTGCAATAAGGGAGATAGCTCTTCTGAAACAGTTGGAAAACTACGAACATCCTAATATTGTCAGGTGTGTATATCTTACAGAAATGGTAGGTATGTATAATATATTATCAGGTATATAAGGCATATTAAATATTAAGGTATGTATAAAAAGAAATATAATCAGGTGTATATGAAATATTTACAGATGTTTATGGAACAGGACATTGTCAGTCTGCTTACATCCAAATTAATATCATACGATAAACTTTGACATTTTATGGTAAATTAAATTCTGACATGATCTAGTAAAATATGTGCTGACATTATGTGGCAAGTATTTACTTGCTGACATTAATTAGTGACTAATGATGTTTGGACACTGTATGCTTTGTCTGGTTAAATAAATTTGACATCTTGTTGTAAAGTAGGTCCTTTAATTATGTGGTAAATAACATCCTGACATTATGTGGTAAATCACATCCTGACATTTTTTGGTAAATATCATCCTGACATTATGTGGTAAATCACATCCTGACATTTTGTGGTAAATAACATCCTTACATTATGTGGTAAATCACATCCTGACATGTGGTAAATCACATTCTGACATTTTGTGCTAAAAAGACATCCTGATATTTTGTGGTAAATAGCACCAAGACATTATGTGGTAAATAACATCCTCACATGTAGTAAATAACATCCTGACATTATGTGGTAAATAACATCCTAGCAATTTGTGGCAAATAACATCCTGATATTTTGTGATAAATGACATCCTAGCATTATGTGGTAAATCAAATCCTCACATGTAGTAAATAACATCCTGACATTATGTGGTAAATAACATCCTAGCAATTTGTGGTAAGTAACATCCTGACATTATGTGGAAAATAACATCCAGGCATTATGTGGTAAATCACATCCTGACATTATGTGGTAAATAACATCCAGGCATTATGTGGTAAATAACATTCTCACATGTGGGAAATAACATCCTAACATTATGTGGTAAATAACATCCTAACATTATGTGGTAAATAACATCCTGACATTATGTGGTAAATAACTTCCTTATATTTTGTTTGAAATAACACCCTGACATGTGGTAAATAACATCCTGATATTTTGTGGTAAACAAACTCCTGACATTTCATAGTAAACTAACTACTGATGTTATGTGGTAAACTGATTCTTTACATTTTGTAGTCAGTTAACTGAGTACATTATGTAAGTCATGTCCTTGCATTAGGTGTTATATCCTGATACCATATCTTGTAATATACATCCTGACACTATTTGGTACATTTTCTGGTAAAATACATTGTGAGATTATCAGATATGTATTCTCAGTACATCTTACTTCTCAGAGTTTTCATGACCAGCTCCCACCCTTGTTTTTGGTTTTAGTGGGTGGAATTAAGAATGCTGGTTTGTATAGTGTTACCCATGCTAATTATGTACATGTCCCATTTCACTTGGACTCCATCTCGCCCTGAATCAGTTTCGTCACCTTAGCAACTACAGTATCATGATAAAAACCAGTACATTAGAGTTTTTTTTAAAACTATATGTTACATATATATATATATGTATACTGTGATAAGTGTAGGTCACAGTGTTACTATTTATAGAAAGTCACCAACCCTTTGAGTGATTTCACTCTGGTGACATAAATTAAGTGTTAGAGATTTTAGTCAATCTATATATATAAAGCTATAAGCAATAGTCATGTATTAGAATTTACTTTATAAGGTTCAAGTCAAAGTTATCATTACTATTTACAGTCAAATACAGTCATCTACTTGTAATTACTATGTCTATACAATTATGATGTCATTTCTCAAACAATCGATATATTATTCAAATGATCAAGTAGATATTTCTGGATTCCAATATTTGCAAGTTAATTAAACAAAATGATGATTCCAGTTTGTATGAGAGAAGGGACATTTATACCTTTTTGCAAAGGAGAAGGGGCACTTATACAAATGTGCATGAGAGAAGGGACATTTATATCACTGCATGAGAGGACGTTGATATCACTGTACATGAGAGGACGTTGATGTCACTGTGCATGAGAGGAGGTTGATGTCACTGTGCATGAGAGGATGTTGATGTCACTGAGAGTATGTTGATGTCACTGTGCATGAGAGGATGTTGATGTCACTGTGCATGAGAGGATGTTGATATCACTGTACACGAGAGGACGTTGATATCACTGTACACAAGAGGACGTTGATGTCACTGTGCGCGAGAGGACGTTGATGTCACTGTGCGCGAGAGGACGTTGATGTCACTGTGCACGAGAGGACGTTGATGTCACTGTGCATGAGAGGACGTTGATGTCACTGTGCATGAGAGGACGTTGATGTCACTGTGCATGAGAGGACGTTGATATCACTGTGCACGAGAGGACGTTGATGTCACTGTGCATGAGAGAGGGAGCACTGTTAACTTACAGAAATTTTCTTTATAATAATCAAGGATATCAATTATTACAATCTAGGAGTCCGATACATCATGATTTCAGATATTATATGATGTCATTAGTAGTAGTTGTAGCCAGTCTGTTTTTTTACACTAGTAACAGAAGATATAAGGAAGAAAATACTAATTGGGGTTGGAACACTATTTATATATGTAAACACTTGACTGGTATTAAGATCTATATACACCCACACATTATCAGTTACTCATCCATACTGCTGTGTATGCACATCTTTGTAACTGCTTCATGAACTTTGTGAATTAGCAAGCTTTGCACAGGCGATATAATCAAAGCGGCACTGGTTACTTTTTTTTGTGATTTTTTTAATCAAGCTCAATCCAGAATGAGTCATTGATGTGTTATATGGAATGTCAAGTTGATAGGCTGTCAGCATTTAAAATTTTGGTATTGTCAGCTAATTATAAAGAGCAAATTAAGATTTTACTTATTGGAGGACGCTGTTGAAATTTTCTGACCAAGAAATGTTAAACTTTTCTTGTATAACACAAGATTTGATTCCAAAACCATTCTCTAAACCGTCCACTCCCAAACATACATCAACTACTACAGTAGTTTAACATTCTTAAGTTATGGAGTTTGCAATGATGTTAAACAATGACATGTATTAAATGATTTTGCTGTTTGCCAATTTCAACTTGATATCATTTCAATAAAACACCATGAGTCATATCTTGGAAGGCCACACAAACTGGATCTCAGATGGAGTAAACATATCTTACTTATGTGCTTAAAAGGTTGTTGAACATTGCCTTTATCCAATTCTGGACACTGTGGTCTAGACAAAATCTGTCGAGACTGTTTTAAAAACTCAAAACCACCACTGACTTTTTAATATCATTTGTAAACAGTACTACTGGATAAATAACTTAAGTCCTTGTGTTTAATTGCTGCAATTTACATAACAAAGTATATTGTATACGGTATAGGTAGTTTGGTAGATCTGTTTATCATTGTATTTATGATATGGTTGGTTTGATCTCTAATCTGGGGTGTATTATTACCATACATATGAATACTTAACAAGGCTTAATATGATTTTATTTCATTCACAAGTTTTTAAGTTTAATTGGTAGGCTAAAGTCTGGATTATAGTATACTATGATTGCAATACAAATTTAAAGGTCACATGATAATCTATTAGCAACAGGTTTGTTGTCATGTTGCTAGGTTGACAGGTGGGTGCATTGAAACAGGTGGGGATCACCTAAAGGGTGTTACCCTGTTTCATTCCATTGATTATAGAAAAACTGATTTGTTTTTACCAAGAATAAAACTGAGTTTATTATGAGCTCCAGAATTTTTGTAAGGAAGGAATCAAATTTGAAAGTAACTGGTAAACAAAATTAATGACTTCAGTTTACCTGTTTGTGACTCAAATTGTGATCTACCTGAAAAAGGCTGTAATCTGTCTGTATACAATCAATTGATTGATTTCAGTTTAAAATAAGGTCAAAATGTCAGTGTCTACGTCACTGTCATTGTGGAACTTTGCTTGTTGGCTTGGCAGAAGAATGTCAGATATGTGATTGTTTATACAGTGTCTTGTGGTGTGTGATAATGTATTACCAATATCTACCTGTGTATGTATGCAAGAAAATGGTATGAATAAAATTCCAATTTAAATGTACCAAAGGACTTTGGTAGATATAAATATACAGACATTTAAATGTCTATTTAAATAGCTATTTATATCATACAAGTTGCACTGTTACTGGGTGAATTTAAATGCTTCGAGTTTATCAATACAAAATTGAATGAGAGATTTGAATGTTGTATATTTACTCTTGTTTATGGTACAAACATACCTGTATGAAAATATGTTTGACCTAGATTGTCAACAACCAAACAGTAACCCTTTTTTCTGTTTATATCAGAGTCTATTTAAAGATAAAGTTTATCAAAATTGTTAACTGTATAAAATCAATATTACTGAAGTAATCCTTTCACTGTTATGTACAAGGTATATAGTTGCCTTTACAAAAACAAAGCTGTGTATACATTATTACATTATAAGGAAGCAAATCATTTGCCAAATTATTCTTATAGAGTATTTCTTAAAAACTGTTGGAAAACCCCCCGTACCCTGAGCAGAGGCATAAAAACCTAAAACCCCCCGTACCCTGAGCAGAGGCATAAAAACCTAAAAACCCCCTGTACCCTGAGCAGAGGCATAAAAACCTAAAAACCCCTGTACCCTGAGCAGGGGCATAAAAACCTAAAAACCCCCTGTACCCTGAGCAGGGGCATAAAAACCTTAAAAAAAAACCTGTACCCTGAGCAGGGGCATAAAAACCTAAAAAAAAACCCTGTACCCTGAGCAGGGGCATAAAAACCTAAAAACCCCTGTACCCTGAGCAGGGGCATAAAAACCTAAAAAAAAACCCTGCACTCCCTATTTATTCTGGTCTACATACATTAAAAGCACCTTGCTATGCCCCAATGTACAGTATCCTGTATGCGAACAGGCTATAATCAGTACGTATACACAGGACAATACCTGTATATTAATAGGTTTATAATTTATGTATTTATACATGTAGGTATTCATATAAAAATAATATATCTGTCCTTTCATGCTATATACAAGGTACCACTAAATCATCTTTTCATATTGATTTTTTGTCAAGCACTATCACTTTATAGGGAGAAAACTAGACTTTCATTGTTTCTCTGTGAAATTCATGGCTATTTATGTATTGTGATATTACTGAAAAAATCGAATTCTAGGATCAGTATTGGTAACCACTACACCAAGATAGGTTTTGTACCTGTAGCCTGTTACTCAGTGTGTTTGAACGACTATCTTGTATTTGAAAAACATTACCGTTATACATGTACCACTATTTGTGAATTTCTGCCCAATTTCAGCATTATTTCAATATGCTGATTCATGTATGACCTCTAAATGTCATTTTATTGGTAGTATATTCATAATATGAATTAAAAATGATTATTTATGTAATAATTACAAAATCTATTAGACTGGAGCGAAAAAGCTGATATCAAAATTCATGTAATTAGTAGGATACATGAAAAGTACTTAGTAAACATAAATACTTATAGCAGGCCAATTGTTTTATCATTTTGTACATGTAATTACTCTGAATTCAGTCTTACAACTGTGTTTAAATATCACCATAATCTGTGTCTATTACCTTAAAAACAACATTTAATAAGAATGAAATGGTGTATTTGGTCAGTCTGGGGTTTTCTAATTTATTATTTCTTGATTGAAATAATTTAGGCTAATTAATGGTACATGTCAACCCCCACCCCCCACCCCCCGCCCCATACATACAGTTTAGACTGTAAAGAACATATTTCAATATACTCTCTTGTAAGCCACGGTTAGTATTGATTTAGGTTATTAAAATCCAATCTTTTACTTTATTTTTTGTATTGTTTACTTATCAATACTAACATCTGTGATTCAGTTTTTTCAATTGGATTTTCTTGTAACAGATTACTAGATGTTCGCCATTCCCAGGCAACAGCGAATGAGATCCGACTCATGTTGGTGTTTGAATACATAGACCAGGATCTGTCTACTTACTTGGAAGGCTGTCCATCTCCAGGACTTGGGCCAGACAGAATTAAGGTAAAATAAGGAACATGTTCAAGAAGCAAACATTTAAATGACGAATTTAGTTGATGAATATAAAAACCAGAGTTTTCATGAATTATCTTACTGGCAGCAATAAAACAATACACAAGATCAGCTGAACAGTGCTCTCTGGATTATCAAGGGTTCACTGTATACTACTTAATATACCCTTGGTAATTCCTAGCATTGTTGTTTAATTACATTCAGAGATGGACACAAATACATTTCTTTGTTAAAATATGTGATAAAGAATCCAAACATATGTGAATCTAGCAGGGTTGTTTTAATAAATAGGGTAAAGGGAGAAAATTTCGACAAAAATGATTGACATTATACATCATAAAAATTGGCCAATCAGATTCATTGCTGCCACTATTATGTATTTAAGTTCTTTCCTAATATGGTGTGATGATTTCAGATTTGTAAAGTAGTCATATGTTTGCAATAAACCTGATTTACTGTAGAATTATTAATTAGTAAGTCTTACTTTCCCAGGACCTGATGTACCAGCTGCTTAATGGTGTAGACTTTCTACACGCCCACAGAATAGTGCATCGTGACCTCAAACCCCAGAACATCCTGGTCACTGGACAGGGGCAGCTCAAACTTGCTGATTTCGGACTGGCCAGGGTGTATGGCTTCCAAATGGCTCTCACATCAGTGGTAATCTTTATTGGAATTGTATTCAAAGATTTAGTTCCAGTGTCTCAATGATTTGGTATTTAATAAAAACCCATAAAAACTACAGATAAGGGTCAAAGTTCTAAGGTCAGTGTCTCCACAAATAGAGTTCAAAGTTCTATGGCTTATGTCTATAGACTTGGGGTCAAAGTTAAATGGCCAGAATCTCCACAAGTAGAGTTCAAAGTTCCATGGCCAATGTCTACAGATTGGGTTCAAATTTCTAGAGCCAGAGTTTCTTCAGATAGGGATAAAAGTTTTAGAGTCAGTGTCTCGACAGAAAGCATCAAAGCTCAAGGCCCATCGTATTTACAGACAGATAAAACGTTCTAGGGCCAACTTGTTCATACATGGAGATGAAAGGGCAATATTGCCACATATAGGTGTCAAAGTGCTAAGGCCAATGCCTTTTCAAATAATGATTTGTTATAGATGCTATAAGTTTGGATTAAAAGTTATGGGTCCTTCCACTCAATGGCCTCATTGATGTGTTACCAGCTCTAATGCCTTATAGGTCCTGATTGACCAATATATCACATTACCTAATCCCTTATGTAGGACACAAAAGTCCTTAAAGGTCAGATAGACCAATATTTTCTCTTGATTTCTGTAGTGAAAAGCTCTTTTAAAGAATGTTAGGAGATACCACTACAGTTAATAAGGACACTAAAGAAATACTTTTGTCAAAAAATTGCATATATATTTATCATATTGGCATGTAACAATAATTTCCAAACATCAGATTTACTTAATTACATGTGATGGCTTGATATAAATGTTGACTTATCAGAAACTGGTGTGTAAATTTTATTTTAGATTTGATTTTATCTGCTCCTATGTGGAATACATGTCCTCATGATATTCTTTTTTGTTCTATATCGGAATATACAAAGTCACTATAGCTACTAATGTAAAATTGTAGGTGGTGACCTTGTGGTACCGGGCCCCAGAAGTTATCCTTCAGGCAGCATATGCTACTCCTGTTGACATGTGGAGCTGTGGCTGTATATTTGTGGAACTCTTCAATAGAAGGTAAAAAAATCAAATTTGTCTTCCTTGTTGAAACCTGTATTAAATGTATATGATATTTTAGTCAATCTTTCTTTTCAAAATGGATATGCATTGTAACTTGGTTTCAGTTTACAGAGGTTTATACAAAGTAGTGGAATGTAGCTTCCTGCTTGGTTCATATAGGTTCTTTAAGGAGTAAAGTGCTTGCACTGTACGTGATATAGTACTTAAAATACCCAGTGTATTGGCACAAAATTCCAATGCAGTGATTTTAGCATGAAAATGTCAAACCCTAACCCCAATTTTTTATGCATTTAATATAATATACAGAAATATATTATAAATAAATTTGCAACAAGAAAAAAATGATATTGCTAATATGGAATTTCATTACTAGTGATGTCATCAAATCAAACAGACTTTCAAATGCTAAAGGGCACCCATATCATAATATATACAATGACTAGTTATGACATCACTTTTGGTGTTGTTTTAGGTTAATATGGTGTGGATTGTGTATCTAAGTATTTACAAAAAATTTTATCTGTTAGTTATAGAGACTTGACATTTGATTTTGTGTCTGTGAGAAACAGTTCATAGACAGTTTGTTATAAATTATTGCCATGAAATTTGGCCGTCCCTACATAAAGTCAGTTTCATTATCAGTTTCTAGTGCAGGAATCTGTTTCAGCCACCAGTTGTTTTGATAAACATATGGCTAGTCCATCGAATTATTTCTTATTATAGATGTATCTATATTGCATTTCAAACACTGTTACAGTTTACTCTCTGTTGTCATTGTTGAGTATTTCCTACCATTATGGAATATCTGTTAATTAGGGCCCTATATAGAAATTTTGAAGGTCAAGGTCACTTATTATAAATCAGATTGTTGAATGTATTTGTTAGCATGGGTAATCTTTCTTTTCATAACAGCTGTCTTGACATTTGTAGCAGAGTGTACTTAAGGTCTTGCCGGTAATCTGTCAGTGCGGGATGTGTGAGTTTAAGGGAGGGATGGGGAGGGGTGGGCAGATTTCCAATCACATAGTTTGGCCCTTGCTGACCTGTCAGTGTTCAAATTAAGTCTAACTATGCTTAACAGGATTTGTCTAAAGAATCATTTCAATTTTTTCTTTTCCTCTCTTTGTGATTCTGTAATTGGTGCTAGTTATAAATAATATGCGTTTGATTTTTCATTTTCAGACCATTGTTTTGTGGAGATTCAGATATCAACCAACTTTCAAAAATATTTGAGTAAGTAAGTCATATTTAGGTTAAATAGAGGATGTTTGTAAGCTTGTGTTATTATATAACTACAAAATGTCTGAAGTAAGGGAGAAGATATTTTCATTTCCTGTCAAGGTTACTCCCACCATTAACCGCTGAAGCCCCTCAACAACCACATTTGTGACCCCCACCACCACCCGTAGGTATAACCTCAGGCCCCCCTACCCTTCCCTGGCCACAGTTGTGACTCCTCTGGGACCCACTTCTCACAATTACAACTTTCACAACCAACAATTATCAACCTCATCACCCAAATTTGTGACTCCCATCACCAAAAATTTTGACAACCCTTAGCTGTGACCCCTACTTCCCACAGCTGTAACCTCTACCACTTAAAATTGGGACCCACACTTAAGACTGTTTCCTATGCCCTTAGATGATGACACTTCTATATTATCCAGTCTCAAATAAAACCAGTACCAAAGAAATTCAAATCTTTATGTTAATGTCATTTCCCTGATGATATTAGTTATGATGTAATTTTGCCATATTAACTTACAAATGTACAAAAACCTTCAGTTGTTTGCCTGCTTTTGTTTAGGGTGCTTGGTCTGCCATCAAAGGAAGATTGGCCAGAAAGTGTGACATTACCGTGGAATTCTTTCAAGCCACTTGCACCAAAATCTCTGGAACAGCTAATCCCCGAGATTGACCCGGATGGAAAAGACCTTTTAGAGGTGAGGAGTAACATACAGTTGTATATTTTTCAAATTCTTTGTCTGATTATAAGTATGTTCTCCAAATGAAATATGGGGAGGTATTGTTTTGCTCTGTTTCTTATTCAAATGATTGTTATTGCTGTTTTTTTCCACCTTCTACCAACAACAATGTTTCTGACACGATCTTCATCCTCTAACACCAGTCTTTCTATACCTTCATCCACTTATCACTAAAACCAATATTTTTCTACCTCCATCCATTTCTATCTTTATTATTCCAGCAACATTTCCCCTGTCTTCTTTGAAACGTTCATTTTCTTTATATTTTTAAATGAAATGTTTCCATTCTGAAAACAGTTTTCAGGGGTTCATTATAAAATGAACTATGCATATTGATTAACTAGATATCCAATTGTCGGTAATTAACACATTTTCCTGATTTTAAAGCATTACCAATATGTATTGTATACAACATGTGTGTCATTAAAATTAAAAATAATGTTTTGAAAAAATATTTATTAAAATTTTATACATAGTAGAATTTCAGAATAAACAATTTCTTTTATTCTTTGCAGAAATTAATTCAATTCAATCCTCATAGTCGATTAAGTGCACGTTCAGCACTTCAACACAATTATTTCCGCGATGATTTGGATAGCTTACGAACTTCAAGTTCTCTCTCCGTATCGGAGAGCGATTCTTGTGATAATGATGGAAGGTCGGACACACCTGTCAGTAAGTAAGGAGTCATGAGACCATAAATAAGATGTCTTGTGATCATAGTAAGGAGTCATGTGATCAGAACAAAGAGTCATGTGATTTTAAGAAGTCATGTGATCATTATATCAGTAGTCATGTGATTTTATACAAGAAGCCATGTGACTGTTAAAAATAAGGATGCATGATCATTATCATCTAAATAAATTTCATGTGATCAGAGGTGAACTCAAGTTAGATGACATGATTAAAGATGAATTAGTGATGTGATAAGTAAATTCTCTGGCTTCCATCTAGTAAACCTCAAATGTAAATCCACCGGAAATCAGAATCAAATTCTCTGCAGACTGAAAAGGAATTATTTTAAATTGGACATCAGGAGGATGATTAAAAACAGCTTAACCACATACTGCAAGACAGAATAGCAACTACTGTGACTTGACCTTTATAGAAGTGGAGGGCTCATGCATAGTAACATTCTGGTGCAATCTGTTTTCAAGGGATTCTTATGTATTTAGCAGTGTGTTTTCGAATACTGCAGTAGCAAAGCTATCGTACAGCTGTTTATCACTCTTATTTAAGAAACAAAATACACAATGTAATAAAGTAGATAAAAAAGAAACGCAAAATATTTTTATATGCATGCTCTGCTCTTTACAAAGCTGAAAAACATAATTTTAAAATGAACATTTTTATACTGAAACTATATTTCAAGTATGTGTCAATTTTTGGAAAAACATTTTTTTAACTTCTGTATGAAATCAAAGTAAGGGAAGTAACTGTGTCACGTCCAAGATCCAATTATCTACCTTTTAATGTCATACCGTCCAAAAACAATTATGCAAGAAACTTGTCAATCTTGGTTCCCTTTGTTCATGTAAGAACTCATTTTCATTTGTCATATACTATTACTGTCATCAGAAGATGTATAATTACCATTTGGTGGTCTAATAGATAAAAACAACATTTTTAACGTTATTTTCAATCATAAATAAAGTTTTAGTTTGGAGGATGGTCAGGCTTGTCCTCTTGGTGCCATATATTTGCCTTATTTTAACTGCCGTGTATTTACAAGAGATCTCAGTAATTTTTGCACATTATATCAATTAACAGCAAAAGTAAGAAGTCAGAAAAACAGCTAATAGATTAACTACATCATCTTGATAACAAAGCTTCATTTTATTGTCCTAAAACTGAGTAGAAATCTACATTTGATAAAAATAAGTCTCTTTCCTTTTTTGTTTTTGTTTTTTAATTTTTTTTTTTTGTAATTATCATTATTGCTTTTTGTAGTGGTATTAATGTTTGCATAATATCACTTCCCGTTTTTAGTGCTCAAATAGATGTCTCAGAAATATCATGGAAAAAATATTCATCAGCATGATTTAAAAAATATTTGACTGAAATATCACAATTCATTCATAACAATATCAAACAATATCAAATATCAAAAACTTTTATGATTGTGAATCATCAATGAAATGTTGCTCAAATTAGGAATCTAGAGATGATAATTCTAAGTAGCTGTTGTTGTCTGTCTGTGTATTTGTAAATTTATACAGATTTCACGTCCATATAGTTATTGATATTTCCTGTAAAGAATACTTATTTGTTTAACAAGTTCTAGGTGACTTAATTAGGCATCATTAGTAACAAAACAAATCAAGGAAGGTCACAAAACACTAAAATGTTAAGATTCTGTGATGTTCATTCAAAATAAAAAAAATTGAAACTTTGTCTCATGCATATTCAGCTGTTCTTTGATATCATGCTGAGAGTAATATTCAAAGTTTTGTAATATTTCTTTAAAAAGTTTACATCTTGGACCGAATGTCTGTTTTTGAAGAAAAAGTAAATAAAAAAACCTTCAAATGTCACAAACTTTATGAGGAAGTTAAATGCTTGAACAAAAACAATGTATTCTCCTTTAAGATATGGAAATGGGCTGCAGTTTACCTACATTTTATTCATTCTATCCTCAAAACTACGATAAAATAGAAACACTGAGTAAGACGTTTGTATGATTGTCATAACTTTATATTGGTGAGAAACATTTAAGCAATGAAAAATGCTTCTTTTCTCTTCCTCTCATGTTATGTATACCTGTTGAGGTATGAAAAATTTCAATTTCAAATTTTACATGATTAATAAAAATGTTTCAAGTCAAACAATAGATAATGCACATACAATATGAGGGCATACCTTCAAAATTAATTTTTGCATGTATTTTATACCAACAATCTAATATTTAAGTTATGTTGTTTGCACTGTTGCTGGGTGGTATAATGTTGTTTGCACTGTGGTCTAATGTTGTTTACACTGTCACTGGGTCTAATGTTGTTTGCACTGTCGCTGGGTGGTATAATGTTGTTTGCACTGTTGCTGGATGGTATAATGTTGTTTGCACTGTCGCTTGGTGGTCTGATGTTCTTGGCACTGTTGCTGGGTGGTGTAATGTTCTTGGCACTGTTGCTGGTTGGTCAAATGTTGTTTACACTGTCACTGGGTGGTCTAATGTTGTTTGCACTGTAGCTGGGCAGTCTGATGTTTTGTTAATAGTAATGTTTAAATGTTTTCACTCACAAGTGCATGACAATGAGGAAAATTTTAATATTCCTTTTTTGTATGTATCCAGCTATAAATAAGTGGAGTTTTTTATTTATAGTTTTCTCTGCTTCTTTAAAAGTATTTTCTTGGTACATGTAGGTGGTATATACAGATGCCTGTATCGTTCCTGTAAACTGTGATCTAGGCCATTTTCAAAACTGACTGAGTAACCACTGTATCAGAATCTCTACCCTGCAGTTTCTGGTCCTGGTACTGGAGCTGTCATTAAACACAACTATGGTCTATGGGAATAGCTTGACAAGAATGTGTGATTAATTTTGGAAAAAGTTATTTCCGGACCTTTAGTGAATCCAATATCACAATCTACTGCACAAATTCTACAAAAAAGAGTTTTAGAAGTCGTGAACACTTGACCATTGTATAGATATCCAGTGTCAGTGTCGGTGACGTCAACATTGCACTTTTAAAGTTTTTCGTTTAGATCTATGGCTCTAAAATTTGAAGTCCAACTTAAATGCTTTAGGACTCCAAATGGTAGGAGTGTGTATGTTCAATACACTGAATCAGTTTACATGTCTGCTGTGTTAAGTGACAGTGATTTTCTGAAGGATATACAATTTGAAATATGAAAAGGCAAACTATTGTCATGTTTTTTCTAGGGGGTTGTGGGTGAGGGGAGGGGGGTGAGGGGAAGGGAGGTTGAGGTCGGTGATGTTTTCACTTTAGCTTGGTTGGTAGAATTGGATGAAAGGTAGCTCTTTTGTGGTATAAGGCTCTATGTGATATCGGTTTGATGTAAGTCACATCCCCGATGTTATTCTCTTTTAAAATTGATGTGACAATGTTATTTTATAGATTTGATTTTTCGGTAAATATGCATTGTATATACTTTGTTTTTGTTTGTATATATAATTTGTATATGATGAAAGTTTTTACAGCTATTTTTATATCCGGTTTGAACAAAATTCTGTACAGCATAACAATTTCCAATATTTTACTGTATGCAAGTATCGTCTTGTAAATTTGGATTGGGTAAACCTAGGGAAATGTTGTCAGAAATGTAGGCTAAAACCTTATTGAACATCAAATCTAGGGTTGGTATATTACATCACCATTCATACACAGTGTAAGGAGGTCGTGCTTCCTTATTGTGGTATATATTTATGAATTATCTTAACTTTAAATCTGAAATATGAACCAGTAATTTGTATTTTTTTTATTTCAAAATAATGCATATTTCTCTAGATTTCCAAATATTTATCAGATCTGTTAAGTTTTTATTACAGCATACTGTTAGCATCACATTCCGTGGAAACTCCTGGACCAACTTGTTATGATATTCTGTTATTGTTGGATATGCCATATCTGAAGAGTTTATATCAGATTGTTGGATTTGAAATTCCATTTAAATTTCTAAAACCTGAAAGATATTGTGGTAGAATGTACGAGAGGAAAACCAAAGTGTTGGGCCATTAATTAGGTCATTTTGAAAATGGTTATAAAGCAAAAGGATCATTTATTTGCATTTTGACCTAAAATGCACAGTTGTCTTTTTATCACTGATAACCTTTTGTACGAAAACATGTTAAAAAATTACAGTTGTACATAATGTTTTCTATTGCATGCATTTTTATGATTTTTTTTTATATATTGTTTGATATACCACACCAGTTGTGTAAACATTATATCAGATTAAAACTTGTGTGGAACAAAACAAATAAAACTCTGGAAATGAGAGCGAGAAAATTTGATTCTACTAATTTACATGTATATATATATATATACAATACATAAATGTGTGTATATATATATATATATATGTGTGTCAGAATTATTTTTATTATTTAAATAAGCTATTTTGCACCATTTTCATTATTATTCAATTAATTATTGAAAGTGATAAAGCATTTGGAGAAGGACCATTTCTAGAATTTACAGGTGTATAAAAGATATGTAGTTCTCACCAGGCTGTAGTTTAAGGAATAGTGAAATGATGAATTTTGTTTACTGTATCACAACATTCAAACATCAATTTATGTGAACAAAAAGGTGCACTTTTTTATTTTGAAATTTAGAGTTACTTTTTGAACTGACCCATAATGAATGAACAATTTTAAATCAAGTTTTGAAAGATGTGTAAAAGAATTCATTTTTTAATATGAAATCTTGTTTTAATACATGGAAATTTATACATGTTTTTGAATTTATTTTGAATTTTGAACTTTAATTTACAAGGCTTTGCATGTTAAATATATATGTGAAGATACCAGTATTGAAGTTTGATTGCATTCCAGTAACTGTTGACATTCATATTGAATATTGTCTGGATTATATTAATGATACATGTGGCATGTTAGACGACCTTCACCTCCTTTTCTAAAGAGCTCTTCACCAGGACACAAATGCAACATATTTTTAATATTTGTTTGAAAAATGTATGAAAGATTTTGATACATTT